AGAGAGAGAGAGAGAGAGAGAGAGAGAGAGAGACTGAGACTGAGACTGCCATCTTGCCCTCTTCTAACTCAAAGAGCCTGTGTGCAAAGGTCCTAGGCAGGACACAAAAGCTTGATGCTGGTGCTGTCTTCCATCACAGCCATCTGTGAACTCCCCAGCCTAACACAGACTTCATTTTCATTTTATACTAAAGGAAAAGGAAACTTTGGACACGGTAAGTCAGAAGTCAGGTCCTTTCCTGGTCAACAGCCACCTCCCACAGTCTTTCATCACATCTTCAAATGAGCCCAGGCCAACATTAGTGCTCTTAACCTCTGTGCCTGCTTGTCCCCCTCAGGTAGCTGCCTCTGCCATGTGCTATCCTCTCACTTTTGGAGTCTGCCTATGCACTGAGGACAGACCACGTCTCTGTTCTGCACTGGAGGCTCCCAGGCAAAGTGGTGAAGAAGATGTACCGCCCTGGTAATGCGCTATGGAAGCTATTTCCTGTTGTTGTTATGACCTTTGGCAGCAACAGAACCAGTCGGGGTTTGAACAGATGAATATGTCTGGCATCCCTACTGGTTAGTCTACTTAGAAAAAATAACTGCACAGGAACTAATAACAGAGTGTTCACTTATTAGTTCCTGGGAAGAATAGCAGGACACATCCCTCAAAGGCTCTATGCTCTGGCTGAGAATTCTTCACTGGGTAAGGACAACAAGATAAAGTGACAGGTCACTGAATGGTAGGGATAGCAAAACAGTCACTAGAAGAGTCAGTGCCACAGCACCTCCCAGGACGATGTCAGAAACAATCAAGGGAGTCACCATACAGTGTTCAGAATTGTGTACTACACATTAAGTAAATATACCCGTGGTATGTCAAAGACCACTAACAGAATTCATTCAGAAATAAATAATTTACGAGTCTGACAAACTACCTCTACATCGAAAATATCTCCACCCCCAAACCCAACAACATGGCGGAAAAAATTAAGATCTCTCCATCTATTGAAACAAGATTTCATACAAACATAAATATATTTAAATTTTCTTTTAACGACAAGTTAATTCAAACAGACTGTTATAAAACAGAATACTATAAACAGTTGTCTGTATAGGTCATAAAAAACATAAAAACTGGGATGCTGAGTGGTGCTGGTGGTGAAAACTGCGGGGCTGAAACTTGCTCAACAAGGAACTGGAGGTCACTAGGAAGGGCTTAATAAACAGGCCCTACCCTGGTGCCAATGGTTCTGTCAACCTTTGGACCCTAGACCTTCAGAATTTTCTCCTCCTTCCTCTGCCAGCTTTGGTCCGGGTCCGGCTACCCTGCCGGACAGTAACTTGCTTTTCAAAGTCCACTAAGCAGTCTGTGGCTTCTGAAATGGAAACAAAAGGCTTGATGGGAGATTCACTTAAGTCGGGATGTATGTGGGAACTCCGCTTCTCGCTGCTGCAGCCCGCCTCTTCCAGCCCTGGTGAGGGCGCCCTGGAGGGAAAGGGGAAATTCAGATTCCATATACACCCGCTAAGCAACAAGTATGTGCTATGCACCGTTCAAGGGACTTTTACACATATCGTTAGGACAAGTAATCTTTGTAATAAGTCAGCCAGAGAAGTAACATCATTCTGTTTCCACAGTGACAACACCAGGCAAATCAAATACTTAAGGCTACACAGCTAGGCACTGAGAGGACGAAGATTCAGACCCAAAGTCCCACTTCCTAAGCTGCTTGAAACGCGGGTCAGAGAGCCAGGGCTGTGTGGGGACAGCGAGCAGAGAAGGGAAGACACAGCTTCTGCCCACTTGTCTTGACACAATGAGCGCATCAGGCTATCTATCCAACTCTTAGCCCAGATAAAGGGGGATCACAGAGTTATCCAGAGAGAGAGGCCATAATAGTTCCACGGGGATTTCTATGGCGACAGTCTGACTACCACCCTACACAGAGAACACAGGACCAGCCTGCACTCTTCAGAACTGCTGACAGTCACAATTCAGTGCACACCCCAGCTCACCTGCAGGCTCCTGTTTCTGACGTCTTGGTCTCTGTCTCTGCATCTGCGATAGGAGAAGAAAGGCAGCAGTGTTGGCCATCACACCAGTCCTCAGAGACCCTGTGCTCTCGCCATTCTAGGTACTGCTTCCAGGCGGGTGACCCAAGGAGCTCAGATCCCCAAGGCCCCAACCCAGGGAACGTGCGCATTCGCGCCCAGCAGGCTCGGCAGCAGCGGGACCAAGATGAACACTTCTGAATCGATCTACTTCAGCTCTGGACTAGAGGAACAACGAGTTGCCCAGGGAAATTTGCCACCTGCTGCGATTCACAACCTGGTGCTCTAGAGGCAGCAGGATGGGAGGCTGGAAAGGCTGCCTTTGGATAGTCATCAGAAGGCACAACAGATTTGCCTGGTGGGAATGAACTATTAGAACTAGACAGTAAGCAATCTTACCAGGTTTAAGCAAAAGCTCCTCCTCAGCGACATGTGGTGAATTTTAACAATAGCAGCTAACAACAATAGTAATAATAGCAGCTAACATTTATCAACATTTATTCCTACTTACGCCAGGAAATGTGCTTGGAGCTTTACCAGATATAACCCTTGCAATCTATAAAGCTGGTATTACTATCTCTATGCAATGCTCTCGACCAATCCATGCTACTGCTCCTACAGACTAGGCAGAAAAAGACAGCTGCTTCCTGCAATCCCTCAGGAGCACAGGTTGCATTAAGCTAAAGGTCACATATGAATGAGGCACAGAGCGACAGGAGACACAGTAATGTCTGCAGGTCCAGTTTTCTGTGCCGGGTCCTTGAGAAGGTGCACTCAAGGCTTGTGTCATTTCCCCGTGTTTTTATCATGTTCCTCTCCCAGTTCGGCAGGCAGTCCTGATCCAGGCCTTGTAAAGCCTGAAACGAAGCGCATGATGACAGCATATCTCCATCTTCCATGGGGAGAGAGGGCTGAGTCTCAGAAGCTGCTGACTGGATCAAGGGCGTACTCACACAGCCCCAGCAAACAGTCAGGGGATGGGCAGTGACGATCTCCCCCAAAAGGCCTTAGGCAGAAGCCTGGAAAACTAGTCCAGTGGGGGGCAGGGGGAGCTCACCTTTAGATTTGTGCTCAGACTGTTCCAAGAGACTGAGGAGTCGGCCTTCACTGTGGCCTTTTTCCTGTAACAGAAAAAAACAGATGAAAGGTTACTTTGTGACAGAGAGACTAAAAGACATCCTCCCTAGCCCAGATCACATTTGCTTCTAGAAGAGAAGAGGTGTGGGACACAGTTCTAGGACAACCTTCTGCTTTCTAGTCAGTGAGGGCACACCAGTGAAAAAGCAAACTATAATGAACAGAATTCCTCTCTGTGCCAAGAATACTCTGGATTTAAAACTGAAGGTAAGTTTCCAGGTCTTCTTACAGGCACTGATGCCAGAAAACAACTCCAATCGCCACATTCCCAGAGGGCCCTTTCTCTCAGCATGGCAGTAAGGGTCTCCCATCTGGGCATGGGCAGCGATTGCTTTTTTAGCAGTCCTGGAAGTTGGAGTTGCTGCTTCACCTCTGACCTCTAAGCCAAAACCTGCTCTTCCTGACCTCCAACTGCCATGCGCAGAAAGTGCAACCAACTTCCCAGTGACCAGTGACCTGGGCCCAGGGCCCAGGCCCCATGGCTTCCTAAGGCAGGGCACACAGGAGTTCAACAGGGTAGATCTCGCATACGTTCTTGGCAGTGGGGTTTTGAACTGATATCCTTTCTGGAAAGCAATATGGCAGGTGTGTTCCAACAGACTTTAAAAAATGTTTATATTCATTGTCCTGATAGTTCTACTTTAAGAAATCTATTTTCAAGAAATAATCAGTAGTATAAAAACTGATTAATGTCTTAAATAGTCTTATAATGCCAAAAATTGGAAAGAACCCAAATATCCAATAATATGACAATGGTTACACGAACACTGGTGTGACATAAACAGTAACCTTTTTTTTTTTGAGTTGGAGTCTCACTCTGTCGCCCAGACTGGAGTGCAGTGGCTGCTCCCGGCCACCACAGCCTCCACCTGCTGGGCTCCGGGGATCCTTCCGCCTCAGCCTTCCGAGTAGCCGGAATTACAGGCACGCGCTACCATGCCCAGCTGATTTTTTGATGTATTGTAG